GTGGATTCCCTACCAGGTCTACACGAGGTTCTAATCGGAACTTCGGAATTCTCGTGAACGCGCTCGGTAATCTTAATCTTATAATTTCAATTTTCATACACACTTAAACATACTAAGAGTACACGTAATCTCGTGCAAATGTTAAACTAACGTCCCTAAGCAATGCCTTGATTAATGTAATTTCACTTGTTGTTTTATTCATACTAGTATGGTTTGAAATTAATGTACATACTAGTACTAGTACTACTACTAGTACTACTACTACTAGTACTACTACTACTAGTACTACTACTACTAGTACTAGTACTAGTACTACTAGTACTACTACTAGTACTACTACTACTAGTACTACTACTACTAGTACTACTACTACTAGTACTACTACTACTACTACTACTACTACTACTACTACTACTACTACTACTACTACTACTACTACTACTATTACTACTACTACTACTACTACTACTACTACTACTACTACTACTACTACTACTACTACTACTACTACTATTACTACTACTACTACTACTACTACTACTACTACTACTACTACTACTACCGCTACTACTACTACTACTATGCGTAAAATATTAACAATTGAACTTTCTTTAAATGAGGGGTTGGGAGCGTTAAATTAACATACAGTACATTAACCCTGTAGGCCTCATAGAAATGAGTACTGCAGTTTTTGCTTCAATTTAATGTCCTGAATGCTCTACTTAACAGTCTGAAAGTTAGCAGGGGGGGTGTCCTCTTCTTCCTCTTTTTTAGGAAACAAGACCAAAATTATTGGTTTGTTATGATGCTAGTGCACTACCAAATGAAGAATCTGTATAGTAGCAATACTAGGATCTATGTAGGCCCACTGGGATACTAAGATTCCAAATGTTAAATTCACATTTTTTAATGTTCCTGCAGTTCCCAACCCCTTATTTAAAGAAAGTTCAATTGTTATTTTACGTGTAGTATGCTTGTAGTACATACTAAAGTAACATGGTATGAAACAAAAAAGTACAAGAAGTGTACTATTGTTACCGTAGACTGTACCGTAAGGGATAGTTCGTAGGCGTGATCAAAGCGCGACTTAAAAAAAGGACTCCTACATGGGGACAAAACTGCAACCAGACAAAACTGCAACTTTTCTACCAAAAACTACGTATTTAACAAGTAAGGGACTAAATTTGTACTTTAATGCAAATTTGTACTACTACTAGTACTACTACTGATACTACTAGGACCTCCTACTTATACCAGTAGTTTCAGCATAAAAATTGTATAACACAACTACCCACTGAACCCAACATGTTCATTAGGATGTTAAGACATGTTCTGCAAAAAACTAGGTCTTWATTGGAKRCTTAGTTGCTTTTTTACACCACAATCAAGTTTGCAGTGTAGATTGTGCAGTTTATTACATGCATTTAACACGTAAGGGACTAAATTTGTACTAAACTGCAAATTTGCAGTTTCGTCCGCGCGTAGACTCCGAAGAAAAAGATTTCCTGACATGGTTTTGGTTTTCTGTTCGTACCTGGTACTGTACCGCTTGAATCATTATCAAGAGTGACAGATATTTCTTCGTTCCTTCTCTCCGATAAACTGTAAAGTGCCCACCATACTATCACTCGTACCTGCTCCAGCTGCACCATAAAGCCACGACGATGTTGCAAGAGCAAGAAGATGGTCGTAACCGAGCACAGAAGACGAGTGCAACGACGGCATCGGAACCAACGACAACCGGGGAAGGGGCCCCCGATCCAAAGAGAACACCTAACCCGGGGAACACCCGAAAGGTCTTCTATACGACGTGCCGCGAGGGGATGGCCAATGAGTACATCCGAAGGCACAACGACATACCACCCGATGTTTGTGCGGGCCTCCGCACCGCGGGTATTGCCTTCCTGTCGATACACAAGCTCCCCGGAGCGAGCAACGTTCTCGTGCTTACCATCGAAACAGCCGGGTCCAATCTGAATCTTGGGAGGGCGACGGGGCCCGGGTCGGTGTACCGGCAAAACCCGGTTTGCCAGAAGTGGGAAGTGGACATGGAGACGCATTATCACAACGGATGGACGGAAATGGAAGAGATCCATAGCAGCGATGTAGAGTGGAACCGGAGCCTTGGTTTGCCCCTTTTAGAAGAATGATTTGTTTTGAAGACAAAAACCAGCATGCACCGTATCAACAAAGGGTTTGCTGGAGAGGCTTGAATGACAGCGTGAAACCTGAGGTAGTTTTGGCGCAGCGGTGCAAAACGTTCGAACTTCGTGAACTGATGAAGAATCACCACCCTCCATCGAAGGATTTGCACGGAGTAACAGATGACTTTTAAATACTCCCATATGGTGACCTTGACTACTCATATGAACTCCCGCAGAGTGAGGTCCGGTTGTAGGCAGAAGGAACAAAACGAGAGGGCCGTGACTTTCAGAAATAAGACAACACTCAATAACACGTGCGGATATGCTAAAATTGAATTGTCCACTTCGAACAGTTGCTCGGAGGAGTATGATCTAAGGATCAATGACGTTATGCTCCGTTGATGTGTTTGTGATCTCGATTTGTTTGGCCTTGTGTTCTTCCAATTCTTCCTCCTTCTTCTGCAACAGCAATTCCAAATCATTTACTCTCCGTGCTAACTCCGTTGCCGACTTTTTGGTTACGATCATGTCCCCTTTGTAATCATTGCTGCGATCCCCATTTGTTCGAATGTTTAAATCAATACCGCTTATGTTAACTTTGGAGAATTCTTTCTTTTTCCAATAATAGTGAATTTTTGGTGCAAACAGCAACAAGAGAGTCTCCATACAGACTTCAAGAGCCGTGACAATAATATAGGAATTGTTTGAATGTCAACCATTTCAAAGTAGATTGAGTGAGAAGTGGTAGGGGAAGTTTTTGTGCTTGTCCAAATAGTGAGGATTAACTTACAAAGGAAAAGGGCACCGCCGTATACGAAGAACAAGATCTCAGGTTTCTGTCCTGCCAAAGCGAAGACAGGCAATCCAACCATAAATAGTGTCAATGAAATCAAAAGAGATGCAAAAATGTATTGGCTCTCTGCAAATTGCGTTGACAGCTTCCTTGCCTCCCACGCTTGGTATGCAGATAGGGTAGCGATCACCATATTAATTGCTAGCAGCGCCGCAATGTAGTGAATCTGATTTACCCAACCGCATGTTCCGTATGTTTCCGCTACCCTTTCGAGATGGTCTAACCTCGAAACTTTCCTATCATATTGTGGGGGATTACGTATAGTCATCGTTGTCAATATAGCAATGTTTACTGCGCAAGAATAAATGTCAGGATGTATTGTAGGCAGTTTCGGTAAGTGAGTTCCGATACGAATAACCCAGATTCATGATGGTTCGAGTACAAACAACCTCCGTAAAAAGATAAACTTACAGAGCAACATAACTGCCATTGTTGTAAGAGTTTCTCGAATAGTCACTGTGACCCTGCGAAAGCTTCTGGAGTGCTTCATGCTGTTGAAAAATACGAGAAGGTCAGGCAAAAAAAAATTATGAATACATCACGACACTAGTGGAATCAAAAATTCCCAAAATCGAAGATCTCGACAACAAAAATCAGGCGTGTTTTGTAATCACCTACATCAAATTGATACGGTAGGTTTTCGTGAAAAGTGCTGAGAAAATTATCGAAAACCCCGGAAACAACAACCAAAGGACGGCAGAGCATGCCTTGTTCATTGCATCAAACGAAAACTGAGTATCGTCCATGCAAAATGGAATGATCGACCCTCCAACCATAATGACTCCAAAAACAACTAAGTAGAGGAAGAAAGGCTGGCTTGCCTGTATTACTCTTGTGAATCTGTGACACCACGTCCAGATACCAAAACTGATGGCAGAAATTATCGACAGAACAGAGAGGATCAATGCCGTGATCTTCATCTTTTTTGCTAATCCAGACGAGTCTGATTCTCTCCTTTCTCTTAAGGCATTGGGCTTTTTGGTCTCTCCGTTGCTATAGATGAACGACTGGTCAACGTCAATCCATGATCCATTGCGATAGATATTTGTTGTGTGAATTTTCAATCCAACGAAGTTCTTTCCTGTGTTTTCGTCGACCACATCCTCAGTCACGTAATTAACCAGTTCATAGAACGTACTCTCATACGTCCTCGTACCTTTATTGTTAAATGTTACTTCCCCCGTTGCACCACGAAATCTTAGGCCCTCGGTCAAATTTGAAAACTGATCGGCGGCATTGAAGGCCTTGTTGTGACCGATTGCACGGCATGCCGACATTCCCAACGCAATCGTGGCGTCATACATGTAAGCTGCATCGAAATAGTCCGCATCTTCTGCATCATACTGAATGCCAAAAAATTCGTCGTTGTTTGTTTTTTCGCCTTGATATAAATTCTCTGGTGATTGCTCTAAATGATTCCTGTTTTGTGGAATCAAAGCAGAAATGTAGTTCATATCTTCACTGCTTTTATCAAGCTTTCCAAGTTCTTGAACAAAACCGTTGTAGCTAGTTTCGTTCTCTAGTCGTCCCGCACTAGGTGTGAACATGCCCGTTCCATTGTATGCAATCGCTAATTTCGGACTCAATTTCATACTACTTGCAGGCGCCCAAAAGGAATCTGTGAAATACCATTGATAATATCCAGCGCCACCTATATTTCCAACCAACCCCATATCGTACGCTGTTTCCATGAGTTTGTGATAAAAATGCATGGTCGGCATTGCGGCAATAATGAAAGTGAATTGGGAATTCTCCAATGCCCTTAAGGTAGCATCCATGGCTGTCCCAGTACTATCTATCGAAAACCTCCTAATGACTGGAGCATTTGATGATTTCTCTCTCTCTTGTATTATATTCTCTCTCTCTCGTAGTAGAGCTTCTCCCACCGAGTTTCCATAAGGTTCATTCATATGAATCAGTGCCAGATATTCCAACTCAATTTCCTTTCCAAAGTAGTCCATGATTGGTTTGATATTATCTCTATCGTTCGGCACTGTTCTTGCAAAATACGGATACTGCGATACAGAGTCTAGTAGCGTCGATGTACTAGAGCTCGACAACTCCATAAAGCCTTTGTTCCCTGATAATAATGCTGCTGGCATTGTTAGCTCAGACCTTGTAGAAGCCAAGAAAGAGCAAGGTTTTTTGTGCCCATCCCGTCGTCCAATTATTTCTAGGACCTTGTCAATGGCTTCTCCTGGATCATTTCCTGGGTCCGCGTATTCCATAGTGAAGATCATATCACTGCAAGATGATTCGCGAAGGTCTCCTAGAGAGCTTACAAGAGATGAATCGCCAGTATTCAAGTGCTGTATTCCGAGAGCCATTGCCTGGGCAAGTTCAATAGAAGCGCTGGAAATATTTGCTGACCACGGTGAATCGAAGGCGAAGGGCAGCATTCCCACAAAATGACAGTGCGGAATTTCCATGTATTCGCTTCCGCTGTCGCTGCTACTATATTCTAGCATATCTTCTTCGTTGATTTTGATCACATTGTTCACCTGGTGGTGGTACACATCCCGCGTTATTAGATCTGCGGGCAGATCCCTGAAAATGGAATCAAAGGCTGGCAGGGTATAGAGGACACTGGTCTTCGGTAGGTCGTCGATAAGTTGTTCAACACTGACATAGGTAGCGTTACTAATGGGCCACAGTGATGGCCAGGTGGATGTCATCTTGGTCTACTTTTCGTCGTGTGTTGGTACGTCGTAAGCTCTTGAAACTAAGGAAAAGCGAGCCTCCGTTTTTCTCCCTCAACGAAGACTACTAGAAGGCTTCGATAACTTGACTTCGTAGTAGGTAAGTACTTCTACTTATTATTTAAAAATTTAAAAATAATGAGTGATTCCCGATATTATAGAAATGCTAAATTTGATAGACGGACGGACCAAAAATCTAGCACATTTTGTAATAGATTTAGCATTTTTAGAATGGGTCAACCGACCCCATTCTAAATGTGCTAAATACTATGATACGGTACTTCTAGTACATTCCAACAAAAGACTGGCATCTAGCCGGCATTCTCGTGGTCTGTCCATTGAAATTCGGATTCCCGTTATTATAAAAGTGCTAAACTCATAGATTCCGGAATTCTATCATTCTATAATAACGGGAATCACTCAATAATTTGTCGCGCACCTAAAAGTTTAACAACGGTTCTGTCTGTAAGGTGTAGGGACCCTACCAGGTTCTAGTACACAAAAAAAACTGACACAACCTGCAGTCAACAAACAAATCCACCTCAACATAACCATAGGAATTGCAATAACTCCATAACCAAAGCATTTTAAGACATTTTAAGATAAGCAGAGGGTACTGTTAGAAAGCTCTGACTCTCCTTTGTAAGGCCGCCAAATATTTGTCCTGGGTTCAAAGAACTCTTATTTCTACAACTGTTAGTATACTAAGAAATAGTGCGGAAACGTTCTTAGAAATTTTTGAATTCAGCAAACACAGCAAGAACGCCAGGAAGGAAGCTTCCCTTGGAAATTCCAATTGGTCTACTGTAACAAGTATTGTCTAATTAGTTGATGTCTATCTTATCATTGTGATTGGGGATGATTTGGTTGTGAATTAATTTCCGACAAAGGGCTCGGTTGCTGTGATCAAAGGGACCAAGCCCTTTGTTGCGACAATAATTTTTAAGTACTGCATTCTACACAGTTCTACGTATGTGATATGCTCAGTCATAGTGTTGAGGAGGTGTGCTTGTGTAGTAGGTGTCCTAATGAAGTACTATAGAACGGCTGGGATTCTCATCTTACAGCGGTACATGCCAAAAATAGCTAGTGCTCGAGACCGGCTGTGTGTTAGAAAATAGGCCAGCAAGTGACAAAAAACAACTCTGATCCCATTCACCCTCTAGTATGCCTTTATTGATATTGTATAGAGTTCGCCAGCTAATGTACAGTCCCAGCCGTAGATTAGGGGCTATCTAATTACCATGTAATGACTTGTGGGATTAAAAAATTGGCTTGTACTGCAGTTTATAGCAGTGTGCACGTGTGAGCAAAACTATTTGGAAAACTATTTGGTCGCACAAATGTGGGATTCAAAATTTCAGCACATGCCAGCTGTAAACTCCAGTACAAGCCAATTTTGAATCCCATGAGTCATTACACGGTAATTAGATGGCCGCTAATCCACGCAAACGTATAATTTAACTGTATAACTGTTTTAATCTTGAACTGACAGTTTGGGCAATAACTTTTTCCCCAACGGACGCTTAAGTATGGTAAGCACATGGTCAAAAAGAGAATTCAAAGAGCTTTTGAATGCGGTGGGGGAGTACGGCATCTGACAAATATTCATTGATATACGTGTATGTATATCTAGTATTTCTAATGCTTTTTTTGCTTGGCCCACACTATACAATAATTACTTACAAGGCTGTGCCATTGGGAACCCATAGAATGCTATGGCAGCTTAGAACTGGCTCACCAAAGTTACAGTAGCTGGTGGCCTAATTTTGATGTAAGAAATGGGCCCCACCAGAACCTTTGTTATACTCATACCGTACCCAAATCATGACCCCCGGAATTAACAAAGGGATTCTACTGCCTACTACTAGTACATTGAGCTGATTTTGTAACTACGAGTTGCTTCCTCCATCCGACAATGATTGTCTGTTGACTCCAATATTGCAGTCCAGATGATACTATGATAGTCCCCTAATTTACTTAACACTCATGAAATAATTAGATTTAATCCCAGCAGTAAAATATGGCTGTGTAGAACATGTACTAAAAACTTGGAATGTGCATGCACATGATTGATTAAATTCCACACATGAAAATGCAACCTATTAACACAGCAAAGAACACGATTTTGACAATGGTAGTACAGTGTACCTCTTTGAATACAAATGACAGATATAAGAAAGAAAGAAAGCTATTTACTAATTTGAAATAGCCTCAAAAACAACTCCATTGTAGCTATCATGTGCAAGTAGTGGCACATCAAAATGACTGTTGTTGAAACCCATTCAAATGGTAACTTAAAATGACATTTAAAACATCCCCATTTGAAGGCTTTGGAGTGAAGTTACAGCCAAAATTGAAGTGGTTTTGGGTCAAATGCTAGTACAGGGACGTTGCGAAATGACTCATTACCAGTTACTCTAAGCTACTGCAGTAGAAAAGCAGTTACGTGGTAGTACAAATTTTCAAGATTTTCKGGAAACTATTCAATGAAACAATTTTTTCGCCGGTAAGAAATCTACGTATAAATTACTGCAAAGCTACTTAAAAAGTACTTTTCAAGCTACTTTAAAGTAGCATGAAAAGTACTTTGTAGGT